CTCATGACCATAGATGAGGGTAGGAATGTAGATCAACCGGTAAATCGAGAGCTTTGCTTTTTGGCTTAGCTCTCTTCACCACAACAGACCGGTACAAGGCACGCTTCACAGCAGACGCCGCACCAATCCGCCTATCGATCTCTCGTTCCATCTTCCCCTCATTCGTGAACAAGACCCCAATATACTTAAACTCCTCCACTAGGGGCAGTACATCTTCACCAACCTGGAGAAGGCACTCCACCCTTTTCCGGCTAAAGACCATGGTCTCTGATTTGGAGGCACTGATCCTCATCCATGTCGCTTAACACTCGGCTGCGAACCGCTCCAGTGAGAGCTGTAGATCACGCCCTGAGGAGTCCAACCCTCACCGGAAACGAGTCCGACTTACTGCCGGCAATGCGCACCAGGCTCTGACACCATACAGAGACCTAACAGCCCCTATTGAAGGACCCGGTACTCCATACTCCCGGAGTACCCCCTACAGGACCCCCCGAGGGACACGGTCGAATGCCTTCTCCAGATCTAAAAAACACGTGTAGACTGGTTGGGCAAACTCCCATGCACCCTCCAGAATCCTGCTGAGGGTATAGAGCTGATCCAGTGTTCCACGGCCAGGACAAAAACCATACTGCTCCTCCTGAATCCCAGATTCGACTATCCGACCGATCCTCCTTTCTAGAACCCCAGAATAGACCTTACCAGGGAGGCTTAAGAGTGTGATTCCTCTGTAGTTGGAACAAACCCTCCAGTCCCCTTTTTACTCTACCAGGTCTGACCAGCGACCTCCCCCACCATCGGAGCCAACTCACCATCAGATAGTGATCGGTGGAGAGCTCTGTTATGTATGAATTTCTTTGACAGAAAAAAACCTCAACAACAATCATGTCTCCCTACCTCTCTGAGCTTCTCCCCCCTATGCTCCCACTCAGTGCCTCAGAGCAGCTGGCCTGCTGCTCCTGGAGGTACGGAAGCTCAGAGGAGACAGAACAGTTTCAGTTGCTCAACCGACCCTGTTCACTGTCTATTTTTAAAACATGCCTTGAAGCCTATTTTTATTCTTTGGCTTTTAGCACAGCATCAGACACTCTGTTGT